GAGGAGGAGCCGGTAGCTATTTTGGACCGGTAGGTTCGTCAGTTGAGATCCAAGAGTTTCCCTTCTGTTCGTGTTCAGTGGAGAGGTCAGCCTCCTGAGGCATCGACCTGGGAGTCCGAGTCTGACATGCGGAGTCGTTATCCTCATCTTTTCCCCGACTCAGGTACTTCTTTCTTTTGTCCGTTCGAGGACGAACGGTTGTTTTAGAGGTGGAGAATGTGACGACCCAAAGGGTCATCACCTGTTTTCTTACTCATTCCGTGCTTCCGAGGCCTTGAAAACCTCATTTAGGGTTGCCTCGATAAGCGTGCGCATTCCGGGCGCGTAGCCGGAAAGCTTAAATATGAATTCTGTGAGAAAAATGCTAAATTTGATATTAATTTGACTAAATTTGACTTCGGTCAATATTTTGGGTAAACGGACCCGGACCCATGATTTGACGTTCCCGGAGGGTCCGTAGGAAAATATGGGACTTGGACGTATGCCCGGAATCGAATTCCGAGGTCCCAAGCCCGAGAAATGAATTTTTGGGTAAAATTATTTTTCTGAAATTGTTAAGGGAATTGGAAATGAAATTTGATTAAAAGACTGTGGTATCGTGCCCATATTTTGGTTCCGGCGCCCGGTGCAGGTCTTATATATGGTTTAAGCGCTTTCTGTGAAGTTTGGTTGAAATTGGACGTCGTTTGACGTGTTTGGACTTAAAACTCTAAATTTGAAAGTTTATGAAGTTTGAAGAAAAACTAGGGATTTTGAGGTATGATTCGTTGTTTTTGATGTTATTTTGGCGATTTGATCGCGCGAGTAAGTCCGTAGGATGTTATTGAGGTTGTGTGCGTATTTGGTTTGGAGCCCCGAGGGCTCGGGTGAGTTTTGGATAGGTGTCGGATTGCATTTCTCATTTTGGAAAAATCTGGTATCAACTGATCTGCAGGATTCGCATTTTTGAAGCCAGAGTTCGCAAATGCGAAGATCCAGCTATCGCAAATGCGGAGGCTGGTTCGCAAATGCAAAACCATCCTAGGCCGGCCAAGGTTCGCAAATGCGAAGCCAAACATCGCAAATACGATGGTCACTGGTTCGCAAATGCGAGACCCAATTCACAAATGCGAAGGTCCCCTGGTTGGCCTGAGTTCGCAAATGCAAACATTAATGTCGCATTTTCGAAGCCTGCAGGGTTCGCAATTGCGAACCCAACTTCGCATTTCCCACATCTGCAACCTGCATTTTTCATACTTAGTCGAATTTTAGACCATTTTTCACCCCACTTTCAAAATACAACTCCTTAGGCGATTTTTCAAGAACAAGTTTCATCCCAAATCTTTTGTAAGTCGATTTTTACTTAACTCTTTCAATCAATAACATCATTTAACATGTTTTCAACTTAAAATCAATGATTTTCATGGGAGAAATTGGGGGTTTTAGGTAGAACCTAGGTTTTCTATAAATTGGGGATTTGGACCTCAAGTTGAGGTCCGATTTCAAAACAAATTACATATTTGAGTTCGTGGGGTAATGGGTAACCGGGTTTTGGTTTGAACCTCGGGTTTTGACCACGTGGGCCCGGGGGCAATTTTGGAATTTTTGGGAAAAACTTTGGGAAATTCATTTTTATGCATTCAAATTGATTTATTTAGTGTTTATTAATGTAATTAAGTAATTTGTGGCTAGATTCGAGCGGATTGGAGGTGGAATTACGGGGTAAAGCCATAGTTGAGGCTTGAGTTGAGTTCAAGGCATCGAGGTAAGTGTTTGGTTTAACCCTAGCTTGAGGGAATAGGAGTTGAGTCTTAATTGTAACTTGTTAATTGTCGAGTACGATGTATAGGCATGGTGACGAGTATCTATACATTGGTGTCTAGCATGACCGTGAGTCCTCATTTTACGAATAGTTTGGTTGTTGTTATGCCTTCCATGTTTAATTGATGACTTCTATGTGTTGTAAAGATCTTGTGAAAGAATTTGTGATCTTTCGACTTCTTGGAGCATTGGCTCGGGTTGAAATACAAATTGTGAAGGTATATGAGATAAGTAACTCCTTGGAGCATTGGCTCAAGTGATAACGTGAACTTTGAGATGAAAGTGAAAGAAAGAGAAGAGTTAATGATTCATTCCCTTGCCGGGACGTTGTTGGTTATTAATGTTGTACCCTTACCGGGTTTTTATTTGTTTGCTTGTATACCCTTGCTGGGACTTCCATTCTTGTTTTATTATTCCTTTGCCCTTGTTTGTGATTGTTGATTGGGTGAGGAAAAGTGTTAAAGACGAAGGGTAATGCCGTGCATTGCTTGTTCTTGTGAGGAAAGAGTGTAAAGCACGAAGGGTAATGCCGTGCCGCACGACGTGTCATTCCGTGCCTATTCTATTGATTATATGTGAGGAATGAGAGTAAAAGCACGAAGGGTGATGCCGTGCACGTTTGTTTATATTACTGCTTGGTAAGGATGAGAGTAAAAGCACGAAGGGTGATGCCGTGCACGTTTGTTTATATTATTGCTTGGTGAAGATGAGAGTAAAAGCACAAAGGGTGATGCCGTGCATTTGTTGATCTCTGTTCTTTATTGTTGTATGAGTTGTGCTTTTCCTTAGTGTTAGTCCTTTTATATTTGAAACTATTATCTCCCCACAACATGCTTCCCCTCCCATAATGTCTTTACTTGCCTTGTATTTTGATTCTGCTGTATATATAGAATTGCACGGGTTTATGTGGTAGTCCAGTCTAGCCTCGTCACTACTTCGCCGGGGTTAGGCTAGACACTTACCAGCACATAGGGTCGGTTGTGCTGATGCTACACTCTGTGCTATTTGCACAGGTCCACGTTTCGAGTAGCAGTAGCAGCATCATTAGTACGGGAGCAGGCCTTCAGTCCAGCGAGACCCGAGGTAGCCTTGCAGGCGTCCGCAGGCCCGGCGTCTCCCTTATTCTCTCTTTTTAGTCTGTTGCCTCTTTGTATTCGAGACAAACAGCTTATGTGTTCTTTCAGACATTTGTATTTAGTATTTTTTTGCAGTTCGTGAGTATTGTGACACTAGTCTTAGGTAGAGGCTTATATTGACTATTCCGCATTTTGATTCAGTTTCTATAATTAAAACTTCCGCTACTATTAAATTTTTGTTATTTTGATATTGTTGCCATAGATTGATAAAAGGGACTATGTTGTAAACGAAAGGTAATTAAACTTGGCTTGCTTAGCTTCTACGAGTAGGCGCCATCACGACTCCCGAGGGTGGGAAATCCGGGTCGTGACATATACTCCCTCCGTTCCAGTTTATGTGAACCTATTTCCTTTTTGGTCCGTTCCAAAAAGAATGACCCTTTCTAAATTTGAAAATAATTTAGCTTAAACTTACAAGTCTGCTCTTAATAAGAAGTTTTTATAACCACACATACTCTGGGTCCCTTTATGATTTGTTTATGACACTACTAAAAATCCGAAAAAAAAGCGACCAAAATTTGGCGACCAAAATTGGTCTGTCAGGAAAAGCGACCAACATTGGTCGCTAAATTGGAGAAAATAATTAAATAATTATTTTAAATACATTAGCGACCAAGGTTGGTCGCTTTTTGGTCGCTTATTTGGTCAAAATATTGACCGGACTGGTCAGACTTGCTCAAAGAAATGCTGAAATTAACGACCAACTTTGGTCGCTAAAGTGGGACCCACTTATAAAATTTTAATAATTATATTATTATTTAAAAAAAATTATAAAATATAAATAAATATAATTCAAAATTAGCGACCAAAGTTGGTCGCTCACGAAAGGGGAAGCAGATAGAGACCAACTTTGGTCGCTAATCTGGGACCCAGTTATAAAAATTTAATAATTATATTATTATTTAAAAAAATTATAAAATATAAATAAATATAATTCAAAGTTAGCGACCAAAGTTGGTCGCTTACTAAAGGGGAAGCAGATAGAGACCAACTTTGGTCGCTAATCTGGGACCCAGTTCTAACGTTTAACAATTATATTATTAATTTAAATATTACATAAAATATAAATAAATCTATTTAAATTTAGCGACCAACGTTGGTCGCTAAATTTAATTTTCTGGATATTTAGCGACCAACTTTTGTCGCTAATTTGAATTTCTGGATAATTAGCGACCAAAGTTGGTCTCTTTTCAGGTCAACATTTGTCAAAATTAAAAATCACTTTTGTATTTACTATCTAAATAATATAAATGTAATCCGTTAACACTTATGTAATACAAGGGATGAATACACTAAAATATACTCAAACATGCTATATATGTAGTTAAAGTAGTACAACGAAGCGTGTTATATATGAATCATCGACTTATAACCTAGTGATGAATGAATGTAATTCATTAACTCTGTTACAATACAAATAATGAATACAGTATCGTGTACTATAACATGCTATATATGTAGTTAAAGTAGCACGAAGTGTGTGTGTATATATATACACACACTAACATATACTATAACAAGTTATATATACGTTGTAGTATTACAGTGAAGTGTCTGTGTGTATGTATGTGTGTGTGTGTGTCTATATATATATATAAGAACATGAAGCGCTCAGAATACAGGGCCGGGTTCTTTTAGGTATTGATACACTTGCAAATTGATTCATCGACTTATAACCTACTTAGATGCATGTATATATATATTAAAAACAAAACGTCTCGACTTATATCAATTAATATGTTATAATTGATTCATTGACTTATAACCTAGTGATGAATGAATGTAATCCATTAACTCTGTTACAATATAAATAATGAATACAGTATCATGTACTATAACATGCTATATATGTAGTTAAAGTAGCACGAAGTGTGTGTGTTATATATATACACACACTAACATATAGTATAACAAGTTATATATACGTTATAGTATTATACTGAAGTGTCTGTGTGTGTATGCGTGTGTGTGTCTATATATATATATATATATATATATATATATATATATATATATATATATATATATATATTACACAAGCAATAATAGGCAAAAGAGCCCCTCTGAAAAGATTAAAGCAAGCTAATAGCTTTGTTAAATATATTTAGGAAACAACAATTACAACATAATAAAAAAACTTTATAAGAATTAGAGGTTGTAACATCATTACAACATAATAAAACAAAGTGCCTCCATCATACATAAGCAAATATTAAGTAGATAATCTTGGAAAGATCAAGCTTTCTGTATATACAAATCCTTCACGAAAGGCTTCGATTCGAGGTTGTAATCCAAATGGTTTGTTGGATGTCCCAAATACAAAACCACTATCTCCCCCATATCTAGAAAAGAGTAGCAATTCATGCTCCGCAATCCAATATTTTGGTCTACATTGAGACAGACCGGTACATGTTATGATAGCCATCTGATACCAAGATTCCTTGACACCATAATCTTTCAATACCCACAACTTAAAAGTGCCATCCTTCCCAAGAATATAAGAAGTAGAATAACAACAAAGCATTCCTCTCAATACTGAAACGCCATATTCCATCTCATCCGCGTCGCAAATCAAGCACATTTGATCTGGCAATGGTATCTTTTCATACACCTTGTTTGAAATACTAAATGAAACCACTGAATAATTTAATGACTTACCAAGCCAATGAAATGCTCCATGTAAAAATGACAAAGACTCGGTACCCCACGCCACAAATGAGATGCCAGGAGGATGTCTATAAATTGTTTCCCAAGAACCACTTTTCAACGCTAGAATTTCACTGTGTACTTCCTTATCAATCTTAAGGATCTTATAGTCATCACTAAGTCATATCCCAATCCCCAAGTACAATATCCTTTTCGTGGTAGTAATTCTGGAACGGGCAATTCTATTGATTCTCTTGTGGAGGGGTTCCATAGAAAAAATTTGAATTCCTCACTAGAACAATCACCAACCCCAACAATAGACAATCCATCATAACAACAAAAAATTCTTAGGATCACTTGTTCAATGTTTAAAGGACAATCAAGCTTTTGCACATCCTTAACCAACAAAGAAGAACAATAGAAGGAAAAACTGTGATCCATACCAAGGTAGAATTGGCTAATGAGGAGTTTTTGAGAATTTTGGTTATTCCTGGCATGAATGAGATGTTTCATCTTAAAGTAAGGATCCGAAATTAATGTCTTCCAAAATTTTGAAACACATTTGAATCGAAGAAGAGACCGCACAGGTAACCTGCTGAGGATATCCACAATTATTTTCTCGGCTAAGTGAATCCCCATGGCCTACATAAGAAAATTGCTTTAGTAGTTCACAAGCAGGACATGCAAAACTCCTACACACACACACACACACACACACATATATATATATATATATATATATATATATATATATATATATATATATATATATAGAACAAATAGGTTTTCAAGCACAACTTGACTTAATTTGGTGGAAAGGACCAACCAACTACTGCTAACATTGTTATTGCAAAGAAAGAACGCCTTGTCGATTTTCAAAGCAGAACTTTAATGTTGATCTAGTGACTGTGTTTTATTAGTAAGTATACCACTAATTTTTATAACATAGTAGTGCAATAAAAAGAATCTAAAATAGTCGTAGAATTTGATTCCTACGGGCAACATTTCTTTAGTCCACATCCTAGAAGGAACCAAAGTAGGAGGTTTTTGTTCAATAATATATCTGTTGCTAAAGTTTTGGACTAGGTGTAAAACATTATTAACAGTTCACCTCTAAGTCAAACCAACAAACAAACTCCAATAAGCTCGAAATCAGAACTAACCGGATCAACATCCATCTGCATTGTATTCTTTAACGGCCTCATAACTCTCTTCCCTGCAATTTAAAATAGTGGTTAGCCCCATAGAGCATAGAACACTAAGCACAAGCAGAATAGCACACAACAGGCAGCACAGGCCAAAGAAAAAAAAAAAAAGAAACCTCTCCATCTGCCTAAACTTTGACGGCTGGAGTTAGACGGTGGTAGAAATCTGATAGGAATAGTGGAAGTGTCTATAAGCTAGCCAAGACACCATCATTCTTTTAAAATAAACACACAAAATCGAAGAACAAATAGAGATAAACATATACCTTTAAAATAAGCACACACAATCTTCTTCTGCTGGCCTTTAAAAAGATTTGCCTTTTGTGCAATCTTTGCAGCTTCTCTACTACTTTTATTGCAAATATCTGTCTTTTGTGTCATCATTGGAGCTTCTCTGTTAGCTTTGATTGAAAAAGGTTTGCCTATTCTGCAATTTTGGAGCTTTTCCTCTTCTCTATTGCTTCGATTTGGATGCTAGGGTTTATATATGTTAATAGGCCGGTTCGGGTCCTCCCCTGTGAATTACCCGTGCACGGTCTTTTCTTTTGTTTTTTTGTTTATTTGTTGTTGTTATGTTAGTCTTTTACCTCTTTTTAGATTCTAATCAATGAGAAAAAATTAGGGTGAAAATTATTTATATCCCTCAAGTTTGCTTTAAAAATCAAACTCATCGTCCAACTTTGAACAATTATCATTTTAGTCCTCATATCAAATGTGATTTCTTAAAATACCTATTTTTATCTCTTACTCTTATTCTTTAATATAATGATATATTTTTTTATTTAATTTATGTTATCGACTTACCTATAGACAAATTGGAAAAACTTTCTCGAAACAAAAAAAAATGTGAGAAATAGTAGTTAAGCATATAAGATAATGATGTTCAATAGCGAAATAAATGAGAAAAATAAAAAATTACAGTAAATATTTACTCGTATCAGTAATTTTATCAATAGCAATCAAAACTCAATCTATTTACAAAATTGAGAATAAAAGAGAATGAAAGTTTTATAAATTATGCAATGCAGATAATAAAAAAAACAATGGGCGTAAAATAGAAGTAAATTTTATATTAAATTTACAAAAAATATCTATTTACACTTTTCATGAACTTTAATTAAAACATAGAAAAAATCTAATAATAAAAATCAAAAATCAAAAATTTATATACACATAAAGAATAATAAAATAGTGGAACTTAAAATCACACACACACTGACATACATTATATGGATTTTAATATACATAATAATAATAATAATAATAATAATAATAATAATATATTTTGTGATAAATTCATAATATAATTACTTTATTTATAATGTTAGTGAACTTAGATTAAATTATATATTAAAATATAATATTTTTAACTTATGATTATTTACTTGAATAAAGAAATATCTAAATAATATAAAAAAAAGGTATATGTAGAGAGTTGAAAATATCAAGGGTAAAAATAGACATTGCGTAGGATGAAAGGATGAAAATAACAATTATTCAAAGTTGGAGGATGAGTTTGATTTTTAGAGTAACTTGGGGGATGTAAATGATTTTCACGCGAAAAAATTATGACTCTCTAACGGAAGAAAACAAGTTATAAGATGCTTAGATACATAAACTAGCTTATGCGCGCATATTCTGAATTAATTAGTATAATATTTTTCAAACTAGTCTTTAGGATATGCGCATTACGGGTACACCCCGTCTTACTGAGTATTTTTTTTAAAAGAACTAGTTTTAGAGCCCGTTTGGCCAAGCTGCCAAAATTTGCTTATTTTGAAAAGTACTTTTTTTAAAAGTTACTTTTGAAAAAAAATTGTTTGTGTTTGGCCAATTCATTTAAGAAGTACTTTTTGCAACATTTGATAAATAATTTGTGTTTGGCCAATTATTTCAAAAAGTGCTTTTGAGTGTCAAATTACCAAAAAAGGATAGTACCAAAGGTCGTATAATTCTTTTAAATATAACAAATCAAACTTAAATATTTATTGTAAGAGACTTTTATTATTTATTTTAATTTATTTAATTAAATTAATAGATTAAATCATTTACATATATAGTTACACATAAAGTATATGATATTATCTTAGTATAATTGCTTATTTTTATATGATGATTTGAAAATAATTAAAATAACACCATTCAGTATAAATTTAGAAAGTCTATCCAAAATTACTATATATTGATAATCCATTCATGAAATAATAAGTTCACTCACACATGAAATACTTCCCAACATTTCATCTTCTTACTTCTATCACAAACAACGCTTCATATTAGTAGAAGACTTGCCTCGCATTTCTAAAGGAATATCAGAAGGCTTGATTTCCTTATCAATCTCTACAGTAATGTCTTCATTAGCATTTTATCGGTAAAAGAATATTGTTGGAATGAAATTATGTATAGCCATGGTAGTTGTAACTAGATGATTTTGAGTGACAAACTTGAAAGATGGCGTTGAGCGTAAAATAAAAATAATTTTAAATTATATAAAAAAAATCGTAAAAGAAATAGTTAAGTATGTTTAAATTCTAATTCAAAAAGAGTAACTAATTATTAACAACACATAATGTATAATTTATTTATTTTTTTAAAAATTTAAATTCAGAAAGAAACTAATTATTACCTAACCTTACTAACTTTGTCCTAAAATGCCAAGTGGCCTATTGTGACGCTGCCACTTGACTAAATATGGATGCATTTTATTCTTCTTTTTAATAATAATATTAGATAGATTATGCAATGCAATTGTAAATTTATTATCTATTTGTAGGTCATTTTCACAAATCAGATTTGATAACTGTTTTAAAGATTCGGGAATTAATAGCATATAATAGAAAAAATTATAAATAATTATTTGTAGGAAGAGAATTGATAATCCAAAGAAGATGCAGATAATTTGCTTTAGTTTGAAAAAAGAAAAAGATAATTTGGAAAGTTACGAGACATTACACAAAGAAAAGATCAAAAAAAGAAAGTCAATAAATTTTTTGAAAAGTTACAATATGATTCATATAAATGATATCTTTAATTTTAATAGGATGGTAAAAACTAGAAACAAAAATGAAAAGAAAAAACTAAAATTAGTAAGGGATAATTTGAAAAATATAAATTTATGGTGAGGATAGTTTTGTCTTGAATAAATTAATTTTCTACTTCTGCTTCTGCTTCTTGAAAGAAGCTAGAATTTTCTGCTTCTTCCCAAAAGCAGAAAAACTGCTTCTGCTGCTGGCAAAAAGTACTTTTCTGTATTGGCCAAACAACTCAAATTTTTTAAAAGGTACTTTTTTGGGGGAAAAAAGTACTTTTGACCCCCCAGAAGCTTGGCCAAACAGGCTCTTAGAATGCGTGCGTTGCACGTGAATTCTATATCTATCAATAAGAAAGTGTATAGAATATAGAATAAAAATGAGTTATGTATAGTAGCAATTGATGTCGAGGTAAATGCAACATTCATTTAAATAAAAAAGTCAGTGTTACTACATTATGCAATAGCTAAATTTAAACTGACTTACTTCACGCAAAGATGAAGACTTTAGGTAAGTTCGTTATATAGTGTTTATAATTTTAGATATTTATAAATATTAATATGTTATGTTGTTGTATCAGATCTAATATCTTTTTATTGATAATATTTTGTGGTGTATGTTCATTTTTTTGCCACATCAATTGTTGTTATTATCAATAAATTCTTATTCATGAAATTGATATACCCCTTGAAAGTGCAATATATAATTGTCCATGTGAGAAAAACATATTGTGGAAAGTATAATCCTACATTAGGATCGTTTGACCATGTAGTTTATTTTATTATTTACTTTATTATTGTCATCCAAAAGCGTAATTGTTTCGGAGATGATTTTATGAAAAATTCTATATACAATAAAGATATAAAAAGAGGAGGAGGCAGATCAGGTGGCAGTCAGGCTCGATGTTATGCTTTCACTGCCATGCCAGAGGCTGTTGCTTCGAACGCAATGATCACATGTATTGTTTTAGTGTGCCACAGAGATGCTTCCATATTATTTGACCTTGGTTCAACTTATTCATATGTATCATCGTATTTTGCTCATTATTTGGATATGTCTAGTGAGTCCTTAGTTTCGCATGTTCATGCATCTATGCCGGTGGGCGATTCAATTGTTGTGGACAGTGTATATTGGTCGTGTGTGATGAATATTGGAGGATTAGAGACGAGAGTTGAACTCTTATTGCTTAGACCGTGACGTTGGTGATGCCTAGGTCACCTAGGATCGAGTGGAGAAGTTCTCTGGACTATGTTCCCAGTAGGGTGATTTCATATCTGAAGGCCCAATGGATGGTTGGGAAGGGGCGTTTGTCATATTTGACTTTTGTGAGGGATGATGGTGTTGATACTCCTACTATTGATTCTATTCCGGTAGTGCAAAACTTTCCGAATGTATTTCCTGCAGACCCGACAGAGACATTGATTTTGGTATTGACTTGGTGCCGGGCATTTAGCCCATTTCTGTCCCTCTATCGTACGACACCAGAAGAGTTGAAGAAATTCAAAGAGAAGCTTCAGGAGCTTCTTGATAAGGGGTTCATTAGGCTTAATGTGTTGCCTTGGGGTGTACCGATTTTGTTTGTGAAGAAGAAAGATGGTAGTATGCGGATGTTCATTGACTATAGGCAGTTGAACAAAGATACAATTAAGAATAAGTATCATTTGCCGCACATCGATGACTTACTTGACCAGCTTCAGGGAGATAGAGTGTTCTCTAAGATTAATTTGAGGTCTGGGTATCACCAGTTGAAGATTCGGGACTCTGATATTCTGAAGACGGCATTCAAGACCCGCTTGGTCATTTCGAGTTCCTTGTGATGTCTTATAGGTTGACCAATGCCCCAGCCGTATTCATGCATCTGACGAAAAGTGTATTCCATCCATATCTTGATTCTTTTGTCATAGTATTTATTGATGATATCCCGGTGTACTCACATAGCAAGGAGAATCATGCACAATATCTGAGGATTGTACTACAGACAAGGGAGGAGAAGTTTTATGCTAAGTTGTCCAAGTGTGAGTTTTGACTCAGTTCGGTGGTGTTCTTAGGGCACGTGGTGTCCAGCGAGGGGATCAAGGTGGATCCGAAGAAGATTGAGGCGGTTCAGAGTTGGCCTAAACTATCTTCAGCTACTGAGATTCAGAGTTTTCTTGGCTTGGCCGGTTATTATCACCGCTTCGGGAGGGTTTCTCTGCCATTGCAGCACCTCTGGCCAGGTTGACCCAGAAGAGTGACCCATTCAGGTGGTCTGGTGAGTGTGAGTAAATCTTTCAGAAGCTCAAGACTGCCTTAACCACAACTTCAGTTCTAGTTTTGCCTTCAGTATCGATTTCTTATATAGTGTATTGTGATGCTTCTCGGATTGGTATTGGGTGTGCCCTGATGTAGGAGGGTAGAGTCATTGCTTATGGTTCATGCCAGTTGAAGCCCCATGAGAAGAATTACCTCGTTTATG